CTAGAGTTCCACCTTCCAACCCAGAATTCTGCCTTCCAGCCTAGAGTTCCACCTTCCAACCCAGAATTCTGCCTTCCAACCTAGAGTTCTACCTTCTTACCCAGAATTCTACCTTCCAGCCCAGAATTGCACCTTCCAGCCTAGAATTCCACCTTATAACCCAGAATTGCACCTTCCAGCCCAGAATTGTACGTTTCAACCCAGATTCCACCTTCCAGCCCAGAGTTCTACCTTCCAGCTCAGAATTCCTTCCTCCATTTGTCTGCATCAGGGAGCTCTAGGTGTCCTGCATTCAGCCCTAATGTGGGTGCTCTGGGCTGTTTTCTTAGAATTCTTCCAGTCCCTGGTGAGGCTCTTCCCTGGCTTAAACCTTCACCAACTCATTGCTTGCAGAAGTCACAGGTCCCTTAGACCCAAAGACCTGTCCTTCCCTACCTATGAACACTTTTTGGCTTCACTTCTTGGAAATCCTTCCATCTTTTCTTCCTTTTGACCACCTTTTCCTAGTTGATAATTGTGTATCCTTCACCTTCAGTGGAAATTGGCTCCTCTGCCCTCCATCTCTGTTCTCACATTAATTAGAGATTCTTGTCTTGTGTCCTCCCTTACATTGTGTGAGTTCCTCAGGAAACACCTTGCTTTTATGTCCTAAACAGCTGCATAATCCCTGGCAGTGCAGGAAGCATAGAACTTGGTTGAGTGACCATGCTTTCTTCAGTACCTACTGTAGGGCAAAGATGCCACTGTTTTGTTTTGTTTTTTTTTTTTTTCTGGTACTGGGAATTGAACTCATGACCTTGCCCTTGCCAGGCAGTCACTGTGCCGCCAAGCTAAATCCCCATCTCCAACCACTGTTTTTTGATTCTAGGATTTTTGTCACCTGAGCACTGCTGATGTTTTGATGGGTGAATTCTTCGCTGCACGAGTTCTGTCCTGGGCCTTATAGAGTGTAGACTCTGCAGCACTGTCTTCCCTTCTCCCATCTATGATGTCAGAGTGCTGATGTTGTCAGATGTCCCCCAGGGAAAGGGGAGTTGGGAGTCTTGGTGTGAGCAGATGCTGGTGAAGGGCTCTCCCCAGTGGGAAGCGAGCAATGAAAGCCTGTCCCGCGAACTTCTCAGGGAGCAGCACCCTCAGGCACTGTCTGCCCACCAAGTGCTGTGTTCTTTGCTTCCCTCTCTGTGCCTGCTGGATGCTCCTGAAGAACCCTCGAGGAGACTGTCTACAGCATCGTGCTCTCCCTGGCGCAGCGGTACGGCGTCTCCCACTGGGAAGTCTTCATGACCCACTTGGAGTTCCTGTTCACCGACAGTGGGTGAGTGCCACTTCCCATGTGGGTCACGGGTGTCCTTGTGCTGTCTGGAGGAATCTTAAAGTCTTGTAAAGTAGACCTTTCAGTTTTCCTTCTCAGCTATAGTAGATGCACATCTTGATGCAGTATCCTCTCCTTTACACTTTCGGGACACTAATATTCTCACAGTACCCACCTAGCCTTTATTTTTCAGTAGCTACAGCCTTGCATTAGATACCTTAATATTCACTATGTATTTCATGCAAAAATTTTTGCTGGGATTCTGCTCCCATGTTAGACATGATGCGAGGGCAGGTGTTGTGGCTGTCTTGGAACGTATAGTCCACAGTGGGGAAGATAGTGTTTGCGTGATGTCCTAAGTATGAAATTACAGCTGTGAGCCCCATGAGGGGATTTGACACAGTTAGGGGACCTGTGAGGCAATAGCACCTGAGCCGTGTGGGGCCCGGAGGTGGTTTGGGAGTTCATGTTACAGCTATCCCCACTGTACTGTATGAACAAGGTAGAAATGACCCTGCTGGGATAGGGGGAAGGGAGACTCTTGGGAAGTTGAATGCTGTCTTGGAGTGGAGCGCACTTGATTAAACATGGCGGCCATGTTAGAAGAGTGAGGCCAGAGGATGTAGACACATGGGATGATTGAAAAAAAGGTGAATGACTATATTTGTAAAAAATAGAAAAGACACAGTGCCATGAATTCCCCTCACAATTCTCACTCTCACTTCACACACACTTGGCCTGTTGTTCTTACCACTTTCTAATGCAGCTCTGGAAGTAAGTCCTCTTTCTGAGTGTCTGTAGGAGATGTAATAAAAAATATCAGCCTTAGTCACTGGATCTGGCACTGTGTAACTCCTGGCTCTTCCCCAGTCACAACGCCCATGAAAGAGAAACATTTGGAATCCATTCAGGACACCTACACAGTGAGGACCCTTAGCTAAAGACCCTCAGGAAGGAGGACTCTATAAAGCTGCAGCAGGAAGTGGAGGGAGTGTGCTGAAAGTGAGCGGAGGATTTTGAGGGGATTCGTGGCAACGTGTCTTTCAATGTAACAGATTTTAAAAACTAAAGCACACACCATTTTGGTCACACCGTGTGTATGTGTGCAGCATGCCCTTTTCTGTGGAATGTTTCGTATGCCTCAGAATTCTGCCAGCAGGAGGTCATCCCTAGATGAGCACCCTGATGTTCCTTTGTGAAAGAGCTCCGTCTACCGCTTTTCTTTGTAAAGTGGCCTGACTCATGTGCTTTGTTCTAGTAAGGCAAAGCCCACCAAAGCTGATACCTTGTTGTTGAGCGAATTCACTAGAGTTCCCTACCCCACGAGGGCAAGGGAACCGTGCTGTAGATAGGCGATATGCTAAGGCTTGGCGGCACTTCCCACCCTCCCCCTCCTGTCCAGACAGCAGGCAGCTCTGAAGGCCAGGTAGGATGTCCTGCGCCTTGATGGACCTCACCTCTGCCTTCAGCCCCTCAGGCGACCCCCAGGAGACCTTTCTTGGCAGGCAGAGGTCCTCCTGTTTTCCAGCCCCTTGAGTCAGACATAGGACATGGTTCCCATTCAGAGGTTGCTGCATGTGCCGTGCATCTCTGCTCTCCAGGAGTAACATCAGTTCATTATTTCAGTGTTATGTTATAAATTAAAACAAATACAGGATCAGGAAAGATGCATTTAAAGTAGGAATGTTTCATGTGCATAGTGAGGTATAGGCCTTGCTGACTTGTTAAAATTGAGCTGGAAGGGTTGGATCTCTCTCTCCTCCTGTCCCTTCCTCCCCCTCCCTCTCCTCTCCCCTCCTGTTCCCTTCCTTCTTCCTTCCCCACCCCCTCCTCTTCGGAGTATCCTTTTCCCTCACCTAAGGGAATTAGAGTGAGTGAGTAAAGAAAAATGTATTTAAATAATTTTTTTTCCTTCTACAAATACAAGTCGTCTGGACACATGCTGTTCTTGAATCACCTTTTGGGGTGATGGGCAACTAGAAGCCATCACAGAACACCTTCATCAGGCATTAGTACAATAATTTATTCCTTGTGCATTGAGTATGGCTAATGCTAGCTTCTCCCCAGAGTTAATCTCTGAAAGCAAAATATGCGTCATACTTATAAGCTGCTTTACAGCTAAAACTGGGTTCAGAAAAAAAACACTTAAACCATTTTTAGGGTAATCATTAATTTGATTAGTGAGAAGTCCACATTGTTTTCATGATTTCTCTACTGTTCTCTTCTCTCGCTACTTGTTCTGAAGGGAAGGTAGCAGCTTCTTTCATGGAAACGATTAAAGTGGGTTATTGATCACTGGTGTCTGTGAAAGACCTGAGCACACTGTAATTTACTGGAAAGGGAGGTTGGGGTATTTATCATGTGTCCACAAAGGCATTGCAGCCTGACAAGGTAATGAGGTAAAATTGCACACGGGGCAACCTGGACTGTAGGCACAGAAGAGAGAGTGGGTGGGCTGAGGAGGAAGTGGTGTTGATAGAGAGTGGATTTAGAATCAGGTCAAACACAGGTAAACGAAATAAACTGTTACGATATAGCCATTGCCAGCTGAGCCTGTCCTGAGCACTGTTTACCAGGGTGTCAGGCACGCTGTTACAGACTGTTGCCTTCAGGAAAGAATGACAGAGTGTGTGGCGGTATGGCTGCTTGGTCTCCAGGACTGATGGGTGCTGTGGGGTGCAGTGACCAGCATACTCTTGAGTCCAGCAGATATGGAGCTCAGGCATAGGCAGGTCCGTAAGCGCCTGCCCTGTGTGGCAGCTTCTGTCTATATGCTGATAACTCCCCAGCTCTTACTTTCTGGTGTCCCTCATGTCAGTGAGAGTCATCTTACCAGGGTCACACCACTGATTCTTTATAGCCTCCTCCATTTCTCTCAAGCCTCACTTTGCAGATGGTAGGAACAGCAGGAAGTCAGGACATGGTGTGCACGGATCCTTCAGCCATCACACCGGGGGCAGTAGCAGCATCCAGGGCATGTTCTCCTCAGCCAGCCGTTTCTGTCACAGTCTGTGTATGGGCTGCTGCCTTCTTGTCCCGATGCTTTCCTTCACGTCATTTCTCTTCCATTCCTCTCTGCAATGCCAGACTCAAGTTTTGCAATCATTGAGCCTTCTATTTTTACCAGTTGCCACCTCCTCTGAAGTCATCACTTTTGTTGCTCTTACTCTTAACTGGAATACAGTTTTGTGTCGTTTGTCAGCCCAAGCCATTGTTTTGCAGTTATTAATTCCAAGTGTTTATAGCTCCACTGGGTTTTTCAAACCTAGATATAAGTCCTTTGCTCCAAGTCTTTATGTCCTTCCCAGAGCCGGGCACCAGGAGCATAGAGGACACCAATTGTTTTACTTATCCCCCCATCTGTGAGGCATTCATAAGACATGATGGAACACCTCCTTCCGACCATACCTTGGGTTTTGGTGTGCGGAAACTTGCAGATCAAGAGAGTGTCATGTTCTGTGCCGCAGTCAGCTGCTCTGGTCTACTAAGAGAGGCAGACAGGTAGTCAATAGTAAAAATATGAAATGACTGCCAAATGCCAGTGGGCAGTCAGGAATATTTTTATAGACACGGGACATATTTATATAAGTAAGTGTTTGAACTGTGTCTTAACGGAAGAGGATTTCAAGTGAAAGTAAAAAGACTATTTTTAACAACTACCTGATATTTTGACTCTATAGTTGTCCCTTTTATCCTATTTTACACTCTCATAGAAGTTAAAAGATAATTTATATTAACTTCACAAAAACATGCCTTTTGGCACTTTCTAAAAATAGTAACCCTTGGAAACAAAGTATCTGTCCTAGCTCACAGGCCATGCTTTTAAACCATAGGAAGCCTGGGGTTGAGGGAGGGTAGCAGATTGGAGGGAAAAAAAAGAATCGAGTTCTCTGGTGTACAAGTACGAATTCCCTATGATGAATGTGATCATTATGTATACCTAAAATGTACCAATGAAATCGTTTTCTTTGAAAAATAAACCATAGGAAAGTCTCCCTGTGGCCCCGTACTTCCTGTGGCTCCTGGGAAGCATTTCTCACCCAGAAGCATTTCTGCTGGTGTGAGGCTGGCTGGAGGAGACTGGGGAACTTGTCCTGTCCTGGGAGACACAGAGCCAAAAACCAACTCCTCTGCTCCCTCCAAAAACGCCACACAGATTGATCAAACAAAAATACCTTCATTTCTTTTTGCCTCAATTAGATCAATCTTAAGTTCCTCTTCTTACATTGCACTACAGAGACATTAAGTTACGTGAAAATACCAAGACATCTTTCATTCAGGTGGCACTAGCATAGGTAATTCAGGTGAAAGTATGGCTACTTCCCTTTCCTGTTTGATTCAAACATGATAAATTGGAGTCTGTTGACTATGAATTAAGACTCTTGGGGGTTAAATTTATGCCTGAAAGTGGATGTCTTCTTCCCTCAGTTTCCTGAGCTCTGGAAGAGCAGGGTCTGTGCACAGCACTCCAGCACAGAGGCGAGCTGTTTTCTGGTGACATGACCTAGCACGCAGAGTGGGTGCTGGGCCTGGGCTCGTGTGGATAGTGCCACAGCTGCAGGAAGCTGGGCTTCTGCAGCACAGTGGGCCCTGGGTCTCCCTTTCTGTAGGCTCCTGTGTCTGGCAGCTCTGTCTGGTTAGGCATGAAGAAGGACCTGTAAGAAGCAACCGTTCTTCCTGGTAAACAAAACAGGCAGGTCCTGGTGTGGAGGCCCAGCCCTCACAGTCTCTCTGGCTCTCCCTTTCAGTTTGCCCACAGCTGAAATTGAGAAGCGGGCGCAGGCCCTTCACCTCTTTGAGACCCTGAAGATGGACCCGGAAGCCTTTCACAGGCACATGGCCAAGTACATCTATCCCTCCATTGGTGGCCTTGACCACGAGAGGCTGCTGTATTATTTCACTCTCCTGGACAGCTGTGGCTGTGCGGACGTGGGGAACCCAGCCCTGAAGCCCGAGACCCACATACGGCTGCTGAAGAAGTTTAAAGTTGTTGCGGCAGGTAGGCTGCTCATGTTCCCGCTTGAACGCACACTTTTCAGCTCCATCTGGGGGTTACTCTCCTGTCCACAGCTGGCTGGTGCTGTCGGGGGGACAGACCCAAAACCAGGAGTGTGGAGCTGATCCACTTGAGAGTCATCCTGCCGAACCCCCGACTACAGCCGAGGGGTGACGCACGAGGAAAAGCAGGAAGCCAAGTGAGAGTCACACAGCAACCTCAGTAGATTTGGTACTAAAAGCTACTGTTGCACAGGCTTTTTCCTGCGCCTGTCTCTTACATGCTATATTCGAGGTATGAACTGAAAATATAATGAATGTTTACATCTTAAAAACTTATTACAGAAGAAGACACATTGTCAAGAAAGATGGGGTAAGTGTGTCAAAGCAGGGGGAGTAACTGCCTTCTGAGGGGGATCAGTGGCAATGTGACTTTTGCTATAATAAACTGTTTAAATACTCACCATGTACACACACACACACACACACACACACATATACATATACATACACACAGAGGCACGTACAAGTATTTGAGACAAGTCCAAGACACTCAGCATGAGGCCATTGGGCAGGACTTCACTTCATTGGAGCCTGTTTAAAATGTGTACAGTACTTACAATGAGACATTTTCACCTTCGGTAGGTTCTGGAATCTTTAGAATGGTACCTCATTCTCCTAACTGAGAACCTCGGCATGTTAATAGTGCTCACATGTCCATGACGCTCCAGCACTGCGAGGTGCTCTCCAGTCTGTCCATGTGATATTCATTGCAGTTATGAGAGCACACTTCGGCTGATTAGCAGTTTCCTGAGTAAGAAGGAGTGCGAGTCCCTCCCTGCCTTCTAGCAGCCGAGAGATGCCAGTGAGAGCAATGAGTACAGTGCAGTTTGGTGGAAAACCTAGCAGCTGTGCTTGGGGAACGAGGCGGTGTGGAGCTGTTGCCTTCCCCAGTGCACAGAGGAGGAAACTGAGGCACACAGAAGGGCGTGGCCTGCCCCGGCTGCATTGGGCAGGGCTGTGTGGGGACAGCATGCAGCCTTGGGGACAGAACTCAGGTCTCTGTCCTCCTGTGTGAAGCCAGGCTCTACAGCAGGAGCTGGTGGGATTTTCACCAAGCCGTGCAGAGGGCTATGTGTGTGTTGGGAAGTGCCAGTGAGTGCACGCTGGAGTGAGCCACTTCCTGTGCTCTTCCTCTTCTTCTTCCGCTAGGTCTCAACTATAAAAAGCTGACGGATGGAAGCATGAGCCCTCTGGAGGCCTTGGAGCCAGTTCTTTCAAGTCAGAACGTCCTAGCTATTTCCAAACTCGCCCCCAGCATCCCTGAGAGGGACAGGGGGACGCTGTCCCCGAGTTCGCTGTACACTGTCTGGTTGCAGAAGCTCTTCTGGACGGGGGACCCGCACCTGATCAAGCAGGTCCCCAAATCCTCCCCGGAGTGGCTCCGCTCCTACGACGTCTGTGTGAGGTACTTCGACCGCCTGCACCCACGCGACCTCATCACCGTGCTGGATGCAGTTACATTTTCTCCAGAAGCAGTGGCTAAGGTAACATCAGAACTTCAAGTCAGACATAGACCAGGTTCTTTAGAATGAGTGAGAATTGTTCTTGCATTCTATAGGTTTGCTTTGATTTCCTTTCTTGAAGTGGAAAATAATTGCAATTGACGTTTTCTTATCATTTATTTGTGTTTTGTAAGCATAGTGTCCAGTAGGAAAATCACTGTCCTGTACTATAGACGTACAGACAGAAGTGCTCAGATACCCCTGTGCTGATGTATGTGTATGCATCATGGTTCTCATGTATGCCATCTCATGGCACGTACCGGCCCTTTCTTTCCAAGTGTCAGGTGTCAGGAAACCCGCAGCTGAGCCCAGTTCCCTTCACTCAGAACCCAGGCGTTCCAGTGCCTTTGTCTGTGTTAAGGAGAATGCTCACGCACGTCCATCTGGGCAGGGGATGGGGCTAAGTAGGGAGTGCATGCCTCCAGTGCTCGTGCCTGACACAGAAATGAACTTGTAGGAATGCTACACAGCAGAAGCTGGGGCTGTGTGGTTGTCCATAGGAGCATAGGCCACATGTTCCATGGCTCCGTGCTCAGAGCTTAGCCCTTCACTCCACTCTGACATCTGCTCTCGGTCCTCAGAAAGATACAGTTTCACCCCCAATAGATGATGTGAGAGCAGGTGCCACAATACACACCTGTCATCCCAGCACTCAGAAGGCTGAGTCTAGAGAGTTGCTGTAAGTTCAAGACCAGCTTGGGCTACATAGCAAGACCTTCTTTCAGAACAACAAAGAATTTGAGCATGTTCTCAACCCCTAAACTAATCTTAATGTTGCACTTTCTTTTTTTTTCTTTTTTCTTTTTTTTGGGTACTGGGGATTGAACTCAGGACCTCGCACTTGCCAGGCAGTGCTACATCCCTAGCCTCCACTTTCAAGATGTCTCTGAGCTGCATCCCTAGCCTCTACTTTCAAGATGTCTCCAGCAACCTGAGTAGTTACAGCACAGTTGGCTGTGTTCATAGGTACATTATGCTGAAGAAAAGATGCTTAGCTGACTCAGTTAATTACAGTGTTTTTCCTTAGTACTCAGTAGAGTAATCCTGGTGTAGACATTTGTCTATTGTGCACTACACAGTTTATGAGACTATCTCAAAACAAAATTAAAAAGGGTTGGGGACCATACCACAGGCTGTGGATTCCATCCCTAGTATCACAAAACAAAACTAAAAATCCAGAAAGATTCGTAGTGCGCTCTCTGAGAGAGAAGACTAAGCTATGGAAAAATGCGGAGGAGGCACAGCTCCTCCAGGTGCTCTTGAGCCAGGGGTCACCATCCAGCATCAGATGGGAGAAGACAGGCGTTTCCTGGCCTGCCACCATGCAGGGGGCTTTCGGGTGACTGTCCCTCCTTGAGTGCACACACTCACCCTTAGACCTCAGCAAGGGGGAGGAACACCTGCAGTCATCCAGGAGACCCACAGTCATCCGGGAGAAATGCAGTGGAGGGGTGGGAACAGGAAGTGTGGCCTGGCTTGAGCCCCAGTCTCTCTCTTGCATCCTCCACAGAGTGGCCCCCGACAGTGGCTGCAGGTCATTCTGCAGGGAGCCAAGGATACCCTGTGGGATGGATGGCAGGGAGCTCCCATGGGACACAGGGAATTCAGTTCTGCCCTACAGGGTTTTCTGTCAGAATGAGGATTTTCTCCTCTAAAGGAGAAGTGAGGGGTTGAGAGGCTTAGTTCCCTTCCTGTCTACCAGCTGGGCCTGTCAGGACCTGTCCCCTGCACTTTCTGGGTCCCATGGCCTCCCTGCAGGGCTCTGGGGGTCCTCCTGGGCCACAGTGGACAGGGCCGCCTCTGCTTCCAGAAAGCTCTGAGAAGCACCAAAGAGCATGTTTTTCTGACTTGCTGTGGTCCACACACAATTCGTTCTATTTCCCATCTCAAGTTTGGCCCTACTGCCTTGATAATTAAAAATTGTTAGAAGTTATACAGTAAGTTTAGAGTAGAAATATGCCAAGTTCTAGAGGTCAGCACCTTTAAAATGCTCTTAATGGTTCATTTTCCATAATTAAATTCTCCAGGAGAAATTCATATCATAAAAATCCAGTCCTGTTGCCCTTTTAGTTAAAGTTCAGTTAAATAAAAATCCAAAATGGGTAAGTTCAACAACAGTGAGGCACATGGATTCTTTGTGGTATCTGCTCTGTCTTAGACGATCTGGTTTAGTGTCTGGGGACACCTTCTTTCATGTGAGTAGTGTAGTTCTCCAGCAAATACAAGCTTAAATTAATCCCACATGAAGCTTTTCATCATGCTTAACGATTGCCAAAGAACCAGGGAAAGTGAAAATGTATCCACATCAGGTTCACCCCCATGCAAGTTAGGAAACTTGAGCCAGTGACCAGCTCTGAGACAGTAACCAAGCAGGAGCAGAACCCTGTTCTTCATCCAGTGTGCACAGCAGTCTGGATGTGGGGCCCAGGCAGGGTGAGGGAGGTCGATGCACAGGATTGAGCTATACTCCCTGTTCGAGAGCCTCATGCATGGCTCATGGCTGAGAGGGCAGGAGAATCAGCAGGGAGAAGATTACTGGGTGTAGTGTTGCTGTGATGTCTGGTCAGGTTGGTTATCCAGAGGTTGGATGGGAACCTCCCAGCAAGTGGTTAACCCTGACATATGCAATGTGATAACAAAAAATAGGAGAATGAAGGTTTAACTTTTAAAAAAATTTATTACAATAACCCTGTCAAACCATGACTGAATGTGCTGTAGGAGATGAGGCATGGTTGCAGGTGGGCACTGGGGTGTGACCCGGAAAGGATGTGTTCTTGTCCCCAGCTCCTTCCTTCTCTCTCTCTTTCTTGCTGTCACTCTTCTTTCCTCCCTTGCACCCTTTCTCCTTTCTGCTCTCTCTCCCTTCCACCATGGCTGCCATGCTGCTTCTGCCTTGGAGCCAGCCAACCATGGACTGAAAATGTGAAACCATAAGCCAAAATGAACTTCTCTTCCTTTAAGTTGTGGGCATTGGGTGTTTTGTCCTAGCGATGGGAAAGTGACTAACACACACCCACAGTAGGCCTTTCAAATGAAATCTGTACCTTAGGCACCTAGAGAAGACCACTACCTCGGTTTTGTGCTTCTGACTCTGGTGTTTGTGCCATTTCCATGGGAATAGAAATATTTCTATCATGTTTTTCAGGTTGATGGGGGAAGAACAATAAAAAACATTTGATCTTCCTTTCTCCATCTGTAGTCCATCAAGAAGTAGAGGAACCAGACAGATGGAAGTCAGATTTTCTGCTTCATTGTTAGTAAGAGGGAGGGGAGTATAGCTCAATCCTGTGCATCGACCTTCCTCACCCTGCCTGGGCCCCACATCCGGGTGTCACGCAGTCCTGCCAAGCACGCACTCAGATCCAGGCCATGCCTCATCAGGGTGGCCCCTTCCTCTTCTGCCCGGAGTTTGAAACATTTCATTCAGTCCAGAGCCAGCTGTTTAAGCTATGCCCAGATTCACAGTTACATACTCAAAATTTGGTAGTTTATTATCCAACAGTGAGTACCTACTATGTACCTGATGCACCTCCAGAGTTACCCTCAAAGTCAGGTGTGTAGCACCAAGCAGAGTACATAGGAGCATGCACAGGGAGAGCAGAGACTCAACCAGACAATAAATGCAGTGCTTGCTTTCAGCCCTGTGCAGTGGTGACGATGACATCAGGAACATCCTGCGAAGGACTTGGGTGCAGAGTGCCAGGACTGCTTTGGTTTAAATCAGGCATCACCAAGAAAGACTCCACGAAAGGGCAGTGGCAGCCAGCTATTCGGTGACCCAGGGGAAGGGTGTTGGAGATCAGAAGGGCAGTGTGGCTGGGGTGAGAGAGAAAAGGAACGGGAGGAGAGGTTGAGTACAGGTGACTAAATGGGGCTGGCCCAATGGACCATGTGGAAGAAGTCTGGCGGGGAGTTCTGTGCGAGCGGGCATTTCAGAAGCTTGCTCTGCTGCTGTGATGACCACACTGCAGGAGACAGCAGCAGTAGTGTGGAGACTACAGAGGGGCAGTGGGGTTCCCCACATCTACTGTAACCCCTGATCCGTGGAGAACGAGTCTCGACACCCTCCACGTTTATGCTTGGACACTGCATCCATGACTACAGCCCATCTGTGTGCAGACCTTTGGTGCACTGTAATGTACACTTCAGGCATGGGAAGAGATTAACAATAATAACTAATAATAGAGTAGAACAATTAAACCTATACTGTCAAAGATACTTCAAACCTCTGAATTGTTTCTGGAGTTTTCCATTTAATATTTTCAGACCATGGATGACTAGAGGACCCTGAATCCACAAAGAAGAGCCCGGGAAGGGGCTATGGTAAAGGAGGAGGGTAGGAGTTGTAGCCGTGAAGGGTGGGGAGCTGTCAGGTTCTGCATCGAGCTTCCTCCCAGCCTGCCCCCTACTCTCTAACAAGTGTGCGATGGGCAGCACCACCCACTTCATAAACCGGGATGTGCAGGATTCTCCAGGCCACTAGCGTGTGGCAGGCGGAGAGCCTAGACATCCTGTCCTGAGAGCACACGTTAAATGCACTTGTACAGATACTCATGCTCCAGGTGGGGGTCATTTGGTCTGTGTGCTCCCTATGCCTTGGTAACGCGATCTCAGCCCCAGCAGCGCATATGCAGGAGAGGCTCATGGGCATCGGGACAGGAACCAGGAACACTGAAACGAGATGTGTTTGGCAGGGCTGGCCTGGGGCTGCAGAGACCATGTGGCTCCCTATGTAAATGCACAGCACAGAGTGACACCAACGTCTTGGGTGTGGAGTGCCTGCACAGCGGCCTCCAAGCCTGCAGGAAAGACGAGGCTTCCATCTTCCCTTCAGCAACCCACATATGCATCAGGCTTCGAATTGTGTGATCATCATCTGGTTCTTCCAGGCTCAGAGAAACCAGTACATTTTCATTATTCAGTTAACAGGACTTTTTCAGTTTGATTGTTTTCTTTTGAAAAAAACAGTGTCTCTCTGTAGT